TTATAACAGCCCGTAATATATCTGAAGACTGTTATCAAGTCCCCACTCTACCTCCCCAGTCTTATTTTCTCAAGACTAAATGTATCCAGTTTTTTAACCTTTCCTCAGAGGTCTGGTTTTCTAAACCTTTCATCATTTTTGTTGCTCTCTTGTGGATTCTCTCCAATTTGCCCACATCTTCATTAAAATGTGGCACCCAGAACTGGACACAGTACTCCAGGCCTCACCAGTGTCATGTAGAGGGGGAAATTTACCTCCTGTGTTTTACATGCAATGCTCCTGTCATTTTACCCGAAAATGATATTAGCCTTTTTTGCAATTGCATCACATTGTTGGCTCATATTCAATTTGTGATCCACTATGACCCCCAGATCCTTTTCAGTAGCACTACTGCCTAACCAGTTATTCACCATTTTGTAGTTGCGTGTTTGATTTTTCCTTCCTAAGTGTAGTAATTTGCAATTGTCTTTATAGAACTTTATCTTGTGGATTTTAGACCAATTTGTCAATGTCATTTTGAATTCTAATCCTGTCCTCTGAAATACTTGCAACCTCTCCAAGATCAGTGTCATTCCAAATTTTATAAGCATACGTGCCACTCCATTATCCAAGACTGAGATTAGATGAGGAGTCCAGGGAGGGAGACTAGGACTGGGGACCAATGGGGATGGTGGGACGGGAGAGACAGATTGGTTAAGGAGTTGGGAGTGAGGAACTGGGACTGCCAAGGAACTGGGGACAAACAGTTGGAGGTAGGGACTTGGACTGTGTAAGCAAGAAGCTAAGGGGGTGGGGAAGAGACAGGGTGGGACAGGCACAGTTTGGGGAGGACAGTGCAGAATGAGTCAAGCTTGGTGGGGAACAGGCAGAAGAGTTTGTGCTCCCTAGAGCCCATGCCTTTTGGGACCATAGAATGGAACCCAGAATTTCTGAGTCTCACTATTCGTTTGCTATCAGCAAATAACTGTGAAACCCACTGACAAAGCATGTGTCTCATCTCCCTCTGGTGCTGGTCCTCATAGAGGATGACATCCTTCTGTTGTTATTATCAGTTAGTCTGTTACTTCAAATGGCAGAGGTCTCTGCAGTGGAGCTAAAGGTTCCATCCCTGCTGATGAAGCATGTGGATATTAATATGATGCCACATGATGGAATTTCTGTTTTTTCTTTTTTAAAAAACAACAACGATGTTTAAAAGAATAGAGAAATGAGGATTTCCTGGTTACAGCAGTTGAACACTCCCCTGAAGCAGTGGATTCTATCCCTGCCTTTTCCAGAGTTCCCATGTGATACGAGGCAAGTCACTTACACTAATGTTCAATAATCGTGTGTTCCTTATTTACTAGGTGCTAAGCACTCACAACTGCAGCTGAAGTCAACGGGAACTGTGTTTTTATCATATCAAGTGTTCCATAATGCAAAATACTCTGAAAATCAGGCCCTAGGTGTCTCAAATTGAGTGCCCAAAATTAGTGGAAACTTCTGACCTTAGTCTGTGTGACTTAGCTCCCCATTTGTAAAATAGGGATATTACCAGTCATCTCACAGGGGTTTTATGATGGTAAATTAATTAATGTTTGTGAAGCTCTCAAGAAAAGCCAAAGAGGAAATGAATAATTCTATCTTCAGAGCAGTGTTTGAATAGTGTGCACTAAATAAGGCTTAGGGACACATTGAACAATGAGGATAAAACAAAATATTGAATAGCTGCTGATTAAGTGAGCACCATGTATCCTGTGCAGTTCAGGAGGCAGGGGTCCTATGGAAAAAAGTAGTATGTGATCTTGTAATTGAAGACCTGATCATAATGCATATGCGCAGGACGGCCAAGTTAAGGTTACCCAGGCAACCTTAATTCTGGCATTTCCTAACTTTTGAGTGCTCGATTTGGAACTTTAACGACCTTATAACACATTTTGTATGTGTAATACATAAAGACACATAAATGAGTCAGGCATTATTTTTAATTGTGGTTACAGTGTAGCATTAACTGTATATTTCTTTTTTCTCTTTGTGTTCTTCCTCCTCCATCTAATCTTCTCTTTTAATGTTTGCATCTTATGATTTCTGTTTGGAGTGATTACTTTATTCAAATTTTGTAGCAAATGATTAATGCTACACTATTTAGGATTTTTCATATCATAATGATCACTGCGGCATCACGTTTACATGTTCAATATGTAAGTGAAAGTATACACATGCATAAATTGTTTTTTAAATTATATTTCAGGTAGGGAAAGTTACACAGAAGTCAGCAAACTGGACTGCCTACCATTCTGCAGAAAATTCTGGATTGTGTACAGAACAATTGCAGTACAGTAGGTTTCTGTTATAAGGATCAGTTTAGGTCGCCTGCTCTTCTGATTGTTACAGCTGAATGATTACTGTGCACAGATGCATAAAACTGAGCTTTCTGAAGTCAGGCCTAGAAGCAAATCTCTGTCCTCTGAGGAGAGCATGAGCTTTGCTAGGCAGTTGAGTGCCATCACAGGTCTATACAGTTATAATTGGCTGTAATTGCAGGAGCTCTGACATGCTCTACCTGCAGCCAAATGGCACTCAGAAAAGTGAGGAAATCTCATCTGCCTTTGGATATATCAAAGAAATTCCTTCCACTGTGATCCTTGCAACTGAAAGCCCCAGTGATCAGCATTAGGAGTGAAGGCCAAGCACACCAGCACATGTGGGAACAACTTTTGGAAATTAGGGTTTGGTCTACAGAGCCATTAGTTATCAGAAAAACTCAGTACACTCAAGCTCAGATGTTGATTTTCCTTGTGTTATTCTGTGAGCCAGTTTAATATAATATATATAAAACATTTAGAACTAGCTAGTAAACTAAAGAGGAAAGATATTTGTAGTTTATGCACTTATAGTGGGCTGTGTGAATTATCCGTACACGGAGAGAAGCTGTGGCTAATTCATTACACAAACACCTCTAATTAGTATGAAAACGCTGTAAGTGTACTTGTAAGAATGGATGATAAACAGGTTGCACTCGGCAGTAGTAACGCACCTAAAATTACACTCCACAGCTGAAGGTAGAGATTCAGTTAGAGGCTAAAAATTGGGTGCTTGGTCTCTGTCTGAAGAGTCACCATTTGTGAAATTGGACTAATACATGCTCACAGCTCTGCTATGTCAGTGTGCTCTCTGTCTTAGCTTAGGGTTATGAATGAAATGCCATACAAGTTTATTTACATTCACTGAGGGTATGATCCAGTAGGTATGTACAGGACTAGGAGTCGGGGGACTTGAGTTCTGGTTCTGCTTCTGTCCCTGACTTGGCCTTGGGCAAGTCACTTTCCTTCTGTGTGCCTCAGTTACTCCATCTGTGAAATGGGGATAAAACTTCTTTTGTGATGCACATTGAGCTGTCTAGAGAAAAAGCCCTACATAAGGGTGAAGTTTATCATTTTTATTTCTACTTACTTACATAAAACAAAGAGTCTCAATGGAGTTGTGGTTTTGCAGCCAGACTCAGATGTGACCTAGTTTTGGTACCAAATGACCCAAGCAATATCCAACTGTACTTAATTCACTTTGAGATTGTTTAATTGTGGGTGTTTCTGATAAAAAAATAAATGACCTTATAGCCTCCCCTAGGTAAACAATGATCTGAAGTATATTCACCCAGTCCCCCTTTGCTTCCCATTGATATCTCATGCCTGCTGCTGTTGGTGGAATCCAATTGGCTGCATTTAGTATTGCACAGTTCATTGTGACCCTTAGGAAAAGTGCATTATAGAGTTGGGTGTAGCTCAATGGTTGAGGAATTGGGTCTCCTGTATGTGTTGTTCCCAACCTTACCACAGATTCACTGTGTGGGTTTTAGAGAGCGTCTCCCATTATGACATTTAGGGCCATATTTTCTAAAGAGCTGAGGGACCAGTGTGCTGAGCTCTTTTAAAAACCTGAAACTGGGCAAGTCTGAGAATCTGGTCCTTAGCCTGTCTGGGTCTCTGACCTTGTATGTAAAATTGATCCTAATAGCACACCTCTTCCTCTGGAGATTAGCTCTGGATCTCCAAGTGAGGTTGAATACCAAGTTTCTGAAGTGGTGTCTGTTTTTTAAAAGCAGTGCATTACTTGGCATTGCCCAGGCGTGTGTTAACGATAATGAAACCACAGGCTCTTGATAAACTCTGTAGCTGTCTTTATAGCAAATGCTGCTTGTCTTGATTTGGATACTATTACCTGGAGCACACTTTAGCAGGATGTGTACAGTATCTGTCATCGGTGATTTATTCCTTCCTAAAAGGAAGCAGCATTTATCTATTTGTGGTTCCCTTGTTAATACTGTGTGGATACACTAGGGTGTTGTGAATAGCATAACTGTTCATTTAAAAGGAGCTCTGAAAGTATTAGTGCCGGGGGAGAAGCCATAATTATCTGAATGGCAAACTTTTTAAAGTTCTTGTTGTTTGTTTTATTTTGCATCTTCTTTTACTGAAAGATAATAGTGCTACGTTAATGGGAGAGGGAGAGGGTGGGTGTATTTTGTGTCCTAGAAAGCCGTTCTGCTTTCACATCCCCTTCAATCAGGAAAGGCATCCAGCAATTCAGAGCCATTGTTCCGCTGAAAAGAATATGCCATTCTCTGGGAGGAAGAGTTCTTGTATATATGGTGGGAGAGGCATGTAATTTCCCATCTTGTGCCTTTCTTGGATCAGATGTGGAATTAATTCCACTGTTTAGGAAGGCTCACTACATTGTTTGTCACAATGCATAAAGGTTTTTGGAGACAGTGCATTATCAGTCTTCTGCTAGTATCCAGTGGAATATAGAGCATATCTCTTTAACATCTACTCTGTATTATTTCAGTTTTCCTGTGTCTTTAATTGAGGGTGACACTAGCCTCACAGACCTTAGATTTCATCACTTGCATTAATGAAATGCTTGTATTTGGATATATTTCTCTCTGCAGCCATTACAGTGTTACCACATGTGGCAAAAACCATAGTGAACTAACACCTCCCTCTTTGTTTTTCATTTTGCAGCTGGTGCCACATATATCTTTGGGAAGAGTGGAGGCCTCATCCTGTACACCTGGCCAGCAAATGACAGACCCAGCACGAGGACAGATCGTCTTGCTGTAGGCTTCAGCACGACTGTGAAGGATGGCATCCTGGTTCGGATTGACAGTGCTCCTGGGCTTGGCGACTTTCTGCAGCTTCACATAGTGAGTACACGCCCATGTCTATGCCAGACCTGGGTTTCACTTATGCATGCATCAGTAATGTGGATATGTGTTTTGGGTGTTCCTGAAGAGTTAAAGCTGAATGTTGCTTAGGAAAAGGAAGTTGTAATCATTAGATGTATGATTAAAGGGATCGCTCATAGGATCAGGGAGGTAATGCTTCCTCTTGACACAATGCTGGTTAGACTATATCTGGGGAGGCCTATTTATAGATTTGGGTACTATCCTATAGATAGAATATACAGAGGAAACTGAGAGAGTTCAGAGAAGAATAAATAGAATGAGAAGGAAATGGGAAGGAATGGACTTAGATAATGAATCAAAAGACTAATAATGTAAAACATCATGTGTCATGTAGATTCTTCATTTTCCGTGTCTTCAGCACACACTGAATTAACCTCCCCAGGCACTCCTTCAGGGTCTGATTTATTTGGCTAAGTGTGATACTGAAGTTTGCGACAGAACTCCAAAGGAATTCAATGGGAGTGTGATTTACACTTACATTAGGACTATTTTATGGCAATGTTAACCCACCCTGCCCTATGCAAAAGCCTGGAAATGATGAAGAGTATGGTTCCCTTTACCTCATCTTACACTGCCATTGACTATTAAGGGAGTTGAGGATGTTCAGTTTCTTATAGGAGGCACTCAGTATTTTACGGGGTTTTCCTGAGGCCGGGGTTGGAATCTAAAGTGCTACCCACCAATACTGCTATTAGGAAAAGTGATTGTGAGCCACTGATCATGTGAACATGGATCCCCCAACCCTAACAATACAGTGAGTCTGTTAAATGGATATAAACAAAATGCCAGACATACAATGAGAACATATTTGGCCAAGTGTAAAAGGAGAGATTTTCATGATAATTTTGGGTTTCTCTTTACTTTTGGATCATTTGTTTAGAAAGCAAACGAGATTGTGGAATCTAATATTGCCCATAAATTGCTGGTGTGTTTATAAGAGAAATGAGTGTAACATTAATTAACACCAACATATTCTCATACAAGCATTTTCTTTTGTCTGGTGAAGATTTTGGGGATATATTTTTCCAGGGTTAAAATCCAACCATGACTAGATAAATCATGTAGCATGCGATCTCATGCCACAGTGATTATATGTGTTCATTTACTGTCCTCTCCAGTCTAGTGATACTAGAGAGATTATTTTTTGATTATCGTAACACCTTGGAAACCTGGTCATGGACCAGGAACCCATTGTGCTAGGTGCTGTGCAAACACAGAACAAAATCCTTGCAACGTATTACTATGATGTTCACTTATGATCGAAGGAACAAAAGGCTGGCAGCTTACATTTGGAACCCAGAGCAACTGTTTGCTTCCATTTCAGTAGACACTAATGATGGTAAAGAACTGTGCTCAATGTGGTATTCTTTGTGATCAAGCTGGCTATAATGGGGTTTCTAGATAAATCATGAGCACACTTGTGATTTCTACCTTGCTTTTGGTGTTTATAGTTCACCTCTGAATTATGTCAAAAGTAATTAATCAATCTACCTGAACTTTTACATGTGCAATTTTATACCAGGACAGAACTTTGCTGGGATTATTGAAGCAAATCAGAAAAGATCTTTGTAAGACGAGAGTCCATTAATAAAGAATTGTTTACTTCCAAGATATTTTAATTTGTTTTTTTTCTTTTTTGCTAGTAATATTTAAAGCTTGTCCTGTATACTCTAAATGTGTTTTGATCACTCTGCTCTCTGTGAGGACTGGGACCGTTTGGCTAGTTTTGGACACTTTGGCTTTGTATAATTGAAGTTATTAACTGTGATTGATGTTAGCAATAAAAATGCTGCAGGTATTGTTTCTGTGTTTTTAGGCCCGTGTGTGCCTTAGGATGCTCACAAGCAGCAAATGCAGGGCTACTACAGATTTAATGTCTCCTGTTGTGTTTTGGTCACTACGGAGTAAGTATTTGTGTAAGCCATTCAAGAAGGGCAGGAGGGCACTGCTATTCTCGTCTAGGTACTCTGTCTCCTGATATGTACCTCTGATCCTGCCCAGGCCCAAATGGGGAACCCAGTCTGAGAGGGAGACCTCATATCTACGGACACACAAAAAATAGAGCAGAAAGATTGAAATGATATGGTTACTGGTTCCTTGAGCGTCCATAATATTTTGTATAATCTCATTTTGATGATTCAGCATTTCTTATGTAAATTAGTCACAATCATAGCAATGAGTTAACAGCAGGTTTGGGTCCTGCTGGAGGTAAATTACTATCTAAAATGAGGGTTGCCACTTGAAACAAGAGACGCTTATGAGATGGGACCACATATGGTTTCCAGCCTCCCTGAATTTCTGGTTGCTTTTATTGAACAAAGATCTCTTCCAACTTGCAGAAAACTATTGCAGTGCTATCAACTCCCCTGTATTTGATAGATAACACCTGCAAAGATGCAGTGACACCAATTCACCTTCCAAAAGTCCTCCATTACCTCCACTGGGAGGATAAGTAGGACATGTACTCTTCCTGATCACAAGAGATGTGAGCTAGGAAGAAAGACACAGGGAGGAGCAAGTGGAGATAAAAGTGGAGGAGAAAAAGATAATAGTGGGAAGAAATTAGGATGGAGATGGGGAACTAGAATAGAGAGATTAAGCTAATGGTAAAAAGAGGGAGAAGAATGGCCAGCTGACTAGAGAAGAGAATTCTAGAAGGAAAAGTGGAAAGTAGGAAGAAAAGCACGAGAAAGAAGGAACAACAAACAAACAAGGGGTCAGTAAGTGATATAATTATAACATTTACTTTATACCATTTTAATAATGAATGATTTGGCTGTTTTCAGCAACAAAATATTTCAAAATTCCCAAGCTGTGGTCACTGGGAGAGGGTCCTGTATCCTCATTTCCCTGTGTTTGGATGCTATAGATCCGGGGTTCTCACAGCACAATTTGGTGGCCTCAGAGTGCAGCCACCAACTCTTGTTGGTGACCGTTCTGACAACTTTTCCTAAAATATGTAATTAACTTTAGGAAAAACAAATAAATATGCAGATATACATGTCCAGATCATTGTAATTGATTAATGTAGGTTTGTTGTTTTTTTTGCAGATTCAATAATACAATTAATGCACAGTTGTATTTTGGTGCCCCCAGCCCCACTGCCTCCCCCAATCCCTCACAAATTCCCCTCGCCCCCACTGCCTCCCCAAGGCCCCCACCACTCCCCAAGGCTCCCCATTTCCCCATTGTCCCCCTGGACCCCACTGCTCCCCCCACATTGCCTCGAGCTCCATTTTGCAGCCTCGCATCCCAGGCTCACCCTGCTCCTAGCCTCTTGACCATGGCACCTGGTAAAGCCAGCCCTGCTGAAGCCCTGCCATGTTGGGCTCAAGCCCAGAGCTAGAGCTTGTGGCTGGAGTCAGGGTGAGTGGGCGGGCGGTGCTGAGCCCCTGGGCACTGCAGGGAGGCACTGTTCCTTTGCTCCCTCCCCCATCTCTGCCCAAGAGGCTGTCGTGGTTGCAAGAAAACCCCCTGGTGGCCACATGCAGCCATGCTGCCACATTTGAGAAACACTGCTATAGATCATCTCCATTTTGTGTTCAAAAGTCGTCAGTTAGCTACTCTTGCTCCACCAGACTGTCTTGGATTTCCGGCTTGTGGTAACAAGAGTTGACAGCAACCATTTCCTGGTGATTAGAAGTGACCATATTCAGTCTCAGTGGTGTCTAAGATGGTGAGTAAGATGACACCTGACCTTCATGCTGTGAGCTATGGATAACAAATGACAGGTACCATTTTAGAAATTGCCAAGATGACTTCTACTTACTTATGTTAGTGGACACTTTCCGGTGTCTTTTGCTCTTTCACCCATGGCAGGCAACAGAGAGAAGTTTTACTTTCCATATACTGGAGGGGTGTGTGTGTGGAAGTTATTCTATTAATTGGGTCTGTATATAATTTACAGTGAATCTGCTTGGATTAATTTTTTCCATTATGAGCCTTTTAGACACTGTGGAGATTTGTGTGCCAAGGCATCTGTTTCCTATGACTAGAATTTATAACCTCTGTAACTCTTTCCCGCCTGATTTCAGTGAGACATGAGCTACCAGCCCGTGTATCATGCTGATCCATGTGGTGTATGAGGTGTTTATATACGCAACACTACCTGCACCTCCTGGAGGTGAAGTGTTATAAGGAGGTGTTTTCTGCTATCATAAGGTTTGTGTGCTATAGGTGTGCAGGTGGTGCTCTGAGTTGTGAGGAATCCCTTGTAACAGGTAGCGTTCTAGAAGGCTGCAGGCTGGAGTTATGGTCGGATGTTTCTACATATTCATTCTCCTTAATCTGCCACAGCTGTCATTTCCCAATTTACACCATGCAAAATAGCTCACAGAGAGTGAATAGAGGGGAACAGGACAGCTGTGGGTTATGATAGATGTTCTCCTCCTGATGACTACCAAGACATACATCACTCACCCTGTGCACTGATGTTTTATACTGTTGTCTTTCATTTGGATATCTGTTGTAAACCATCAGCTCACCTCTGGTTTATCCTGAGTGTGGTTATGAGGTGGTTAGATTAGCCCACCTCTGAATTCTTGGGTAGACCTGGAATAGGTTTGGAGAAGGAAAACTCTAGGCCTGATCCTCGAATCCTTACTAAGGAAAAACTCCCAGTGACTTCAAAAATAACACTGCCTGAATGATGTCAATCCAATGGGAGTAGAGAGTCGTCAGCACTACTCATTGTCCGATCATAGCTGAAGGCTGCAGGGTTTGACATAGAATTATTTTGGATCTCAAGACCCAACCATGAGGAATGTGAGAAAAAGGCAGTCTTCTCTGGCTTGGAGGGGACCTGGATAAATGGAGGCTGAGAGGGAGAGAATAGGGCTGAGGTGTGTCCATTGGGTCAGATTTCGTTTTCTTCTATTTTCAGTGCATTAGTGTTTGAAAAACAATTTCCCTATCAGAGGGGTAGCCGTGTTAGTCTGAATCTGTAAAAAGAAACAGAG